GCCATAAGGAAACAATTCAAGTGTCTTGGATGAGGATTGCACAAGATTTAGCAGCTTCTAAATTAATGGATCAGAGGGCTCAGAATATGATAGTTCAGAGGCAATAATTCCATGAGACACCATGAATCAATCAAACAAATTCAAAATAATGAAACCACGGAAAAAAATGTAAAATATATCATGGGAAAAACAACTGACCTTGAAAATAGATCCGGGAGATACAATATCAAAATCACTGGAATACTTGAAAGCCATAATCAAAAGGAGGACCTGGAAAGCATCTTTCAAGAAATTATCAAGGAAATTTGCCCTGAGGACTGGAACTAGAGGGCAAAATAGGGAATGAAAGAATCCTCCAATCACCTCAGGAAAGAGATCCAAAATAAAAACCCCAAGAAACATTATAGCCAAATTTCTGAACTCTCAGGTCAAGGAAAAAAAATACTACAAGTGGCCAGAAAGAAACAATTCAAATATGAGGGGGTCACGATTAGGATCCCACAGTATTTAGCAGTGGCAATGTTAAGGGATCAGAGATCATGGACCATGATAATCCAGAGGGTAAAGGAGCTAGGAATGTAACCAAGAATCACTTACCCAGCAAAATTAAGCATTATCACTACCAGGTCTATATCACAAAGAGATCATAAAAAAGGGGAAAGGACCTACACATTAAAAAATATTTATATCAGCCCAATTCATGGTGGCAAAATATTGATGGCTGCCCATCAATTGGTGAATGGCTGAACAAGCTGTGGCATTTGGACATAGGGGAATATTACTGTTTGAAAAGAAATGATGAACAGGTAGATTTCAGAAACACCTGGACTTTTAAAACCTGTTGTTAAATGAACAGAAACAGGAAAATATTGTACATACTATCAACAACATCATGTGATGATTAACTATAAATGATTTAGCTTTTCTAAGCAACACAATGATATAAGACAAGTACAAAGGACTAATGAAGGAACATGCTGTCAATATCTACATAAAGAACTGATGAACCCTGAATAAAAATCGAAGCATATTTTTTCACTTTATTCTTTCTCATTTTTTTTCCTTTTGATCAGTTCTTCTTCCACAACTGTGATAAATATGGAAATGTTTTACATGATAGCATATGTATAAACTATGTCAACCTGCCTACCATTTTCAGAGGAAGGGAGAGAAGTGGTGTGAGGAAGGGAGAAAAATTTGGAACTCAAAAACTTGTAAAGCTGAATGCTAAAAACTTTCTTGATATATAATTGTGAGAAAAACAAAAAAAACCATTTACAGCAAAAATTTAGCATCAGATGGACACTAGGTTATTTTCCTTGTTAGCATGGTAAGTCCTCTAGTGACATGCCCCATGTGGCAGTGCTAATAAATCAGCTGAGGGTTCTGGGGTCTGAGATATTCAGAGACTTGAGGGAAATGTTGCTAAAGGTCTTTAGAAACATTTGCCCAGACTCCAGATCATTCCTCTTCAGAGAATCATACAAGAGTCAATGAAGCAACCATATGACAAGAATTTCAACATCCTTAATAGAGGACAGTGAATGATCATTTACAGAAAATTTAAATACCAGAATCAAAATGGTGAAATGATTCCCATAGCTAAGCAGACCTAAGTCTTTCACCCCAGTGCTTCTGCAGTAAGACTCCATATGTTTGAGTTAATATTAGACCCAGGAACTGATGGAAAAGAAAGCATAATTCTCTGTTACCTCTTCAGGTCACCAAGTTATACATGAACATCTTCCACCGTTTGTGAAAAATCCTCACCCCAACATAAACTTCTTGTTCTCAGGGTGGAAATCTCATAATTTCACTTTCTACCAATGGCTTGAAGAATTTAACTAATTATAAGGTATGGATTTCTACTTTGTGATATCAAAACACAGATGCTTCCATGAGTAAGATCAGATAAAAATGTTTTTTTTCCATAATTATAATAAAATGTGAAGAATGGAAGACAGTGTAAGTATATTAAGAGGGGCTAACATGCTGTTCTCATTCAGGTGCTTGTCATGTTATTTACATGCCATGCATGGAGTGTTAAGTACTAACTTCATGTGCAAATAGGTACTTCCTTGTGAAAATAAGTGCTGGCCATAAGCAAAACTGAAGAGATGAAAATTGATTTATACATTATTTAACAATAACTATTTTCTCCACCTCTTCCTTTTGCTACCTTTTCCCCCTTACCTTTGGGACACTACTTTCATGTCATTCTATTTTTGTAGTTACCGTATGCCACCCCAGTCTTTGCTAAAGAATGCCGTTTGGGGGTTATTGCTGCTTTGTTTATTTCATGATCCAAAATCATATTCTCTTATCTATCCCATCAAAACTCTAATTCTCTCAGCTGATATCAATTGAGCATTAGAAGTACTGTATCTGATTGAATTAACTCAAAGAGAATCCTCACTGCTTGTAATAAATTTCATGTTACATTTGGATTCTAAAACAGAGCATGCATGTTATTCAAAAGGTTAAAAAATCAATGATAAAATTTCAAAGAGTAAAGTGAAGAATTGTAGGCAGTGTTGGAAATATATTTTTGATCAGGAAGATGAGGCTATTATGCCTTAAAATAGATCTTCTAAATTATACACAAAGTCTGACCTTGTAGAACAGGTCTATATTTTATATTCTTAGTATAACCATGTACTAGGTGGTATGTCTGACTGTTCATGAACTTATTTAGGGTTTTATTGGCAAAGATCCTGGAGCGGTTGGCCATTTCCTTCTCCATCTCATTTTATAGATGAGGAAACCAAGGTAAACAGGGTTAAATGACTTCCCTAGGGTCACAAAGCTAGTAAGTTTCTGAGACCAGATTTGAACTTAAGAAGATGAGTCTTCCTGCATCTAGGCCCAACACTCTATCCTCTGTGCCACCTAGTTGCCCATATATGTGTGTATGTGTGTATAGATATAGATATGTTTATATAGCTACATCTTATAGACATATCCATAATATAGTTATATCTGTATCTATACATATATATACACACTTACATGGGTAGAGAGAGAATAGACAAAAAATTGATACAGAGATCAATGCCTATATCTTGATCAATACTGATAAACATATCAAAGAAGTGTAGATTATCCAGGAGAGGGAAATGTAACACTGGTAACTAGGAGGTGGAGAAGAGGTTTTATACAGAAAGTGGCATGAGCTAGGTTTTAAAGGAAACCAAGGATTTCAAGAGGAGAGAGAAGCATCTAGTGTATTCTAGGATTAGGGAACAGACAATAGAAATGAACATATTTAAACTTTTGGGAGAAAGAGTTTTGTATGTGAAGAATAGCAAAAAGTTTGACTAAAGTATAGAATATACCAAGAAAATTAATGTTTTATAAGAATAGAAATATAGCATGGATCCAGGACATGAGCTTTAAAAGTCAAAGAAAAGAGGTTATATTTGATCCTATAGGTAATAGGGAGCAAGTGGGATTTATTGAGTAGTTGGGGGGCAAGGGATTTGTGACATTATAATACTTGTACATTAACAAAATTACTTTTGAACCTATGTGGGAAATACACTGGAATAGGGAGAAACAAGGTATGAATAACAATGATATGGCTATTACAATACTCCCTGCAACAGGGGATGAGGGTCTGAACTAAATAGTGGCTATGAGTAGAAAGAAGGGGATGAATGTGAGAAATGTTGAAATAGGAAAAGCAAGATTGGGCAACAGACTGTATTGTGGAATGGTATTTAAGCTGAAATTGTGAACCAGGGTGAATGGAAGAATGGTTGTGCATTTGACAGAAATAGGGGAATTTGAGAAAAAGGCTAGGTGTCAGGGGTTAGAGGTAGAAGATAATGAGTTCTATTTCAGAAATGGTGAGTTTGAAATGCCTATGAAGCATTCAATTTAAATTAACCAATGGTCAGTTGGTGATATAATTTGGGATCTTGGGATAGATAGTAGGAGTGAATATATTGATGTGGGAATCATAGGAAAAGGGATAAAAATTAAACTCATAAGACGTGATGAGGGCAAAAAGAGATATTATATATAAAAGAAAATACAAGGGGACCCAAAACAAAATTTGGCAGTATATCCTATTACAACTTCCCTTTTCTACATATACTATACATTTATCTCATCCTAGATTCTTAAGTGTATTTCAGCACAGGAAAATGAATAAGTTACCATACTCTCTGCTGCATCAAAAAATACGATAGAACAGACCCACCACTATTGGTAATGTTAGTTAGTTAGTGTTCCTTTTCATAGTTGATTTGCATGGCAAGAAGAGTCGTCTAGAATAAAAATGACATTGTGTGTGGTCAAGAAAGAGAAATAAAACAGACTGTGTTGAATTCAAATCTGTACCCTTGGTTTCATTTGAATGACAATTCTAGTCTTGGGCTAAAAATTTTATGATTATTGCTCATTGGACTTAAGAAGAACTTCTAAAGAAATTCCATCCATATCAGTTTTGAGACTGGGAAAAACAGATATGCTTCTTTGACAAGTAAATAAATATTTGCCTCACGTTTGAAAGAAGGCTAGATAAACTATTAAAGTAGCCATGAAATCAGGACATCTATTTTGGGCTCTGACACAGGATATGGGAAGATTGGAAAAAAATCACTCTGCTATGAGCACCAATAACCTATCAATAAATTGAGAATAATAACTCAACCTATCTACTTCATAGAGTTGCTCTCAGGCATATGCTATGTACATAATAAAATTATAAATATAAAGATAATTTTGATATTTTCTTTTTCAGTTCAGATTTCTATTCTGAGTTTTACCTATATTTTGAGAATTACAGAAACACTTAAAATCATCTTATCCAATGCCCTCGTTTTACAAATAAGAAAATTGAGATTGACAGAGAGATAGTGAATTGTTTAAGGATATAAAATGGGAAAGCCGGAACTAGAATTCAGATCTCCTGAAACCCAGATTATCCTGTGATGTACTTATCATTTGAGACCTCTTTTTTTCCTCAACAGATAGTTAAGAGAATGTCTCATAACATGGGTAATCTCACCATAGTTACAGAATTCCTCCTTATGGACTTTTCCAAAAATTGGGAACTGCAGATCTTACATGCCATGCTTTTCTTGCTGATCTACCTGATGGCTCTAATGGGGAACCTGCTCATTTTCACCCTCATCTCTCTCAATGGGCACCTCCACACTCCCATGTACTTCTTTCTGAAGAACCTGTCCTTTTTAGACATCTGCCTTATTTCTGTTACTGTTCCCAAATCCATTGCAAACTCCCTGAGCCACAGCTGCTCTATCTCTTACTTGGGATGTGTATTACAGGTCTTCTTAGTGATTTTATTTGCAGGATCAGAGATTTCCTTCCTCACAGTGATGTCTTATGACCGTTATATAGCCATCTGCCTGCCCCTGCACTATGAAACCATCATGACCAAAGGATCTTGTGTGAGGATGGCAGTGGCTTCCTGGTTCAGTGGAGGTGTGTTTGGGGCCATGTACTCAGCTAGTACATTCTCTTTACCCTTCTGCGGCCTCAAAGAGATCCATCAGTTCTTCTGTGATGTCCCTTCTTTACTCAGGATCTCCTGCTCTGAAAAACACATTGCAGTTTATGTGAGTGTTGCAATTGGTTTGGGTTTAGGGATTTTCTGCTGTATTTCTATCATTATCTC